GTTCTCTTTTTACATAAGACAAGATGAGACTTGTGCCAGAGTTACAAAAGATACAATAAACACTGCAGCATAATAATAATAGTAACAATTATAATAATACAACTTTACACTAACAGTGCAGTTAAAAAAGAACTACAAGAAACATAGAAGGTCAAATAATGAATGTAAACCCTACAGTGAGGATTGTACATGAGTGCTTTAGACAACAATGTGTGCTGATGTCAGTAATGCACTGGGGAACAGCTGATTTCGTTATTAGTTTAGATCTTACACTATTCACCTGTGTCTTGCACAATTTAAAGACTGTTTACTCAAAATGAGTTTTTTTCATAACCATATTAAGACTGAGTGGATCTGTTCTTTTATCATGTATAGCCTAATTTATCAAATGTTATTTTTATAAAAGCATGGAATAACTTTAGTCCTTTTTCTCTTCAGGTTTGTTCATTTATTTTTGTCAGTTCAACTTATTTATTCTGAATAATGAAATGATACAAAGAAATATCAAAAATTCCCTTCGTCATCCAAATAAAACCTGGCTTTATCCAATGGAATATTCATTTTCTATGCAATTTAGCACATATTAATAACATTTTGCATTTCTTGTATTACACATTTAAGAAAATGTATAATACGTAAGAAAATTGTCGATCAACTGGGGTTCCATAAGGATCCACTGTGTACCATGACTGCACATCTCAGACAGTAATACAATGTTATTACAACCAAGAGGAATGATATACCTGTTACCCAGGTGCTCTCAGAACTCACACTTAATATTATTGCTTTCTAATAACCTAATAAAGTGATATGATATTTGTTGACATCATTATAGCCAACATTTCAGTGTTTTCAGCGTGGACAGGATGACTCCTGCTTCCCCTACCTCCTCCATAAGTAATCTAACCTGCTGCCGGGGGGGGGGTTCAGAGCTCAGGGGAACAGGAGCGATCCATCTTAGTGCTAATTAGATAGGCGTGAGTTAATTGGCGTGAGATGAGCGGACGTGACGTCAGCTGGTCTGTGTACGTGCTCAGAGATCTATTCTCATCAAATATCCCATAACTGAATATAACGATAGCCCCCCTGAGGGCCGTCTAAACAACACTAATGGCCACAACTGTGATGCATTACTGCAGCGACCTATTGTATGATGACACTAATGTATATCCTCAGGGGGTGGGGGGTGTTCAGCACGTATCAAGCACGTACAAGTGCATATGGTCTGAATAAAATGTCTTTTTTGTGCTTGGCAATCATCAGTCCACCAAACATGCCAATTACATGCTAAGAGTAATAGAGTGAGGCCTCATATTTATTCCTATACGTTTACTGTCCACCTCCACACCAGGGATTACAGATCCTTTAAAGCAGGGGTGCCCACACTTTTTCAGCTTGGGAGCTACTTTTAAAATGACCAAGCCCAAAAGATCTACCTCCAGGGCTGCCCCTGCCCAATCTGTGTCGCGCGCGCGGGGTGCTAAACGGCGGATAAACTGTGGCGCGCTTACACTAATTGCGCCGCATAAGCGCATAATAGTGCGCCGCATTTGCGCTTCAGATGAGGAGGTGAGGCCCCCTCATAACTGCATGAACCCGTATGGCACAATACAACTCAGACTGGCTTACCTGTACGTCAATCAAGCGGCAAATGCCATAGTAAGGATGGATGATAGGCTAACTTTAAAAAAAAAAAAAAAAAATTATTTTTTTTTTTTCAATGCCATGCAATCTTCCCACACTACCTTTGCAATCGACGTATTGGGCACCCCTGCTTTAAAGGATGGAGTTGTTTCTACTTCCTGTTCTGAATATTGTGGTCCTTTTTCTTATGACAAATGTACAGACATTCTAACTTCCCCAGAAGTTAATGAAAGTCTTCATCGTCGTCTCATATCCCCACATACACAGTTGGCTTCACTGATGTATTCTGGGAAATCCAATGGTAAAAAGTGCCCGACACCCACAAATTGGAACAGACTCAAATCAGAAGGCTACACTTTAAATAATAAATGACAGCAAACACTCACATAGTTATGACTCTGATTTAGAAAACCCTATAGAAGAATAGTTCCATTTTTGTTGGACCCACATGAACCCACTGTACAATAAGAGGGCATGTATTTGTGCTAATTTGCCAGATGGATGATGTATTATATTAAAAATGCATTACCAAACCTGTCATATAATATAATCATTATTGTATTTTCAAATACATAATAAAGCAGACATTTATATCACATTTATTTATACTACTGACATCCAAAGTGTTAGGACGAGGCCTTTTAAGATATCAGGGAATAGTCTGAGAGATGTCTTAAAGGCAGATTGTTTTAAAGTGTGTAAGGTATGAGCTTAAAACAACCATTGGGTAAAGCGGTGAAAATATTCAAAATATAATGTTCTTTAGACTGATACATTTAAGATCTAAATGGCAGCTAGGACACTTAAATACACAATTCCATAGATGCACAAAACAATACAATTATGTTTAAATAACATCAAATGATCACAACAGTGCAGTTCCCCTCTGCTCTTCTTCTTTTGTCATTTATTTTCTTTTTTAAGGACCACCACTTTAGTGCTTTGGTCATTTGGTTAGGGTCTCCCTTCACATGGCCTTCAGACTGGTATTATTTAGCGAGAAGAGAGACTTTTGTTCCATTCTTAAGGCTCTACTCCACCATTTTCACATAACTACTTTTACTGTCACATAAATGTGAACGTATCGCACACTTTGATCCGTTATGATGCAACGGATGTTTATAAAAATGCTGACATTTCATTCCCTCACTGTGAGATGGATGGAATAAAGACGTTTCTATAAGCTGCAGAGTGTTCTCCATTCTGGTCACGCCTGGATGGGATGGAGTTCTTCAGCTGAGACGAAGCAAAGTTTCAGACCGGCGTTCCCAGGCTGGGCTTAAAGGATTCTAACACAGCGAAGTGAGAAGGCTACTGCGAGTCAACACTTCTCACAGCTGCACCCTTTATGATACGACAGAAACATACACAGTACTACAGCTATTTCTTTATCTGATGGCTTGATGAGAGGAATCGCATCGAAATGTCATGCAGCGGGAAAACAAATAACATGATGCCATTAGATATGTCCTTAGTTTTTGAACATTTGCTACATAATCTGCTGTGGCCTGGGAAGTTTGGGAAGACTATAGAACCTGATTTACATTCACATCTTTAATCCTTTCCCCAACATGTCATTCTGACCTTTTGTGATGTAAAACCAATTCAACCAAATCAATTAAAGGAGAATTATTTTCCCAGAGAATCAATGAGCTCCATTCCCCTGGTAGACTGTGTAATTACAAAACCCTCATTAGATTATGAAACTATGCAACATATGGTGAGAGGAGGAGAGGCCTTTGAAGTGCTCTTGTAATGACTGCAGTAAAAGAAGAAGAGTGAGGATTGCCTGCCTTTACTTCCTTTGATTCTGTTGAGAGAAATCAAAGCGAGGGTTTCTGTATTTCCAGCCCCCCAATCCCCAGACCCTCCCCTGACTCCTCTGAAGTGACTCAGATACCGGCCGGGAGTCTGGCACTGACCCTGCATACGTCAAAGTGTTTTGCCACGCAGAGGCCAGCGGTGTCAACGCCTTTTGAGAATGTTTGTCGTGTTTTCAAAGGACGCCTTCAGCAGAGAAGAAGGAGGCTGGATGTTTGAAGGAAGCGCTCGCTCCTCCTGAAACATGCACCGCTTCAGGCAGCGCTCGTCTTCTGTTCTCTCTGCATCGCATTTCACACGCTTTGGAAAAGCAAACAGAGCCATTCAGCGTGACCGTGTTTGACAGACAGGCAGCAGGGTTCAGAGCAGGGTACGATACTGAAGACAGACCCAGAGCAGAGAGTCTGTGGAGCATCTGCTGCGCTCACTGATTACACTGATGTCTTTGTTCTGGAGACATTTCTTCTCCTGTAATTTCCCTGAAGAAAAGCATTTAGAAATGTGCAATGCAACAAAAAGCATGGAAAGTCCTCCCCAGTGAAGGGCTTCCTGAGCTGTGGGTTGAGATGCAGATTGACTCGCAGGTTGTCTGCTGGTTGGTCCCTTTATGGCACCAATATGAATATTTTTAATAAGCCTGTTTCCCAGAGCAAGGGAGGCTAATATCTCACCGGGGTCCTCGTCGGCTGAAACATTTAAGAAGCTCTCATCTACAGCACAATTATATGTAATGAACAATGTATTCATTTATGGGAGGGTGCGTTTGTATATGAACAGGATTTATTAGCAGGCTGTGAGGACATGTATAACAGTGGTAAACCAAACGTTATTAGGCAGGTTCTGAATTCAAGAGGAGAATCTTTTTCTGTGATTTCTGAGCAGATTTCTGGGCAATGCTGTCTTTGGAAGTCAACTCATTAAAGCTACATCATGTCTGTGTGTTCAGATATGAGTTATGATTCTGAGTAGCAAACATTTTGACGCTCAATTTGGCTCAACGTGATGGTTGCTGTTGTCTCATATCCAGCCAGAGATTGTTGCCAAATGCAACAATGTGTTTCTGTGATGAAGCATCCACTTGTAGTTGCGGAACACTTTCAGAAGAACCAAGTTGTAAGAACTGCTCTCAAAGGATAATAACACAGTGATCATTCACAGGGTTGATTCATTTGTTAGCGGCAGAATGATTGGACAGGTCAACAGATGGTGTTCTTGTTGTGTAGAGCAGGCTGCGATATCATTTGAAATCATTTAACAAGAAATAACAAAGCAGGGATACATCTGTGAGTTTCAGAATAATGAGACCGTTTCACCGGCTGATTGACAACAAAATGCTTCACTCCTCTGCATGACTCCAGGAGTCATTACAGGGTGTATACAGAACCACTGAAAACCAACTCTGGCTGGTGATTTAATAACTTTATCACCACTTCTGACGTGACGAGTACCTTTGATGTTACTGGGGGTTGGAAGTCACTTCAAATACAGTTGATAGATTTGGACTGAACTCACAATTATCCACCAGGCATCTAACATGTTTTCAGCAACATTCAGGGTCTAAAACTGTAGTTTGGTTAAACACACCGATATCACCATTCACAAGCAGGCTTACACATCTTTATAAATGGGTGAATGCTGACGTTTTTTAAAAGTGTTTGAGGTGTTGTAATGTCTGGAAAAGCTCTATAAAAATGAAGTCAATGTACATTTACATTTTACAGATGTTGGAAGATTGGATGGGATCAGTTGATCAAACGCAAGAGACACAATCAGCAAAAAATCTCTATTTACATTCATTTTTTCTCTCAATAGTTTTTCCTCTACTTGTTGATTTAGCTTACTAACTAATCAACTAATCAAATATCATGGTTTGGGTAAGAACAAATACAGTAGGTTTCCGTATTACGCGTCATCCTCACCTAACTTTAAATGATTCCTTTATGAGTGTTAGTTTCACACTGAACGTACACACTAGCCTCCTTGGTGAAAGTCCCATTGTTGTATGTATCTATCCCTCCCACTTATTACATACACACACTTTTCCCACTTACTTACATGTCCCGATTTCCAGAGCACTTGTGTATGGTCGAATATTGGCGTGGATTGGTTTCCATTGTCGATAATTAAAACGTGATGTATGTCATACAGATCCTAAAGGGTGCCCTGTGCGCCCTTATCAGACGCCAAGGGGATATTTTACTCTGGACCACAAATGTGTACCTTAAGTGTACAGGAAAATGTCTCCAAATGTAGATATTATCCTATTTGGACCAACAGTGCTCCATTTTCTGACAATAAATCCAAAAGTTGTTGGTCCGAAGTGATGGACAGGCCGACAGACCGGCATTGCATTACCACGAGATACAAACTATAGTCATTGTTTTTATACACAAGCGTTAGTTACACAACCATACTTTATTACTGATGTCATCACTTACACAGACAGAGGAAGTGTCAGCGGTACCTACTGAAAAATCATCCTTGAGTAACTAGTGGAAAACAGTTTGTTGTCATCACACACTCTGGACCAGATGCTTTGTGTTTCATTTGAGATGCTGTCAGCTAACCGTTCACCTGCAGAGCTGATACAGAACCGAACCTGGCAGGAGCGAGGGAAACAGCAACGGAACCATTTTCCAAACAGAAGTTAACCACGACTGAATCCAACTTCCTGTCTGTTAAGAGCTGCTGGGTTTGATCAGGTTATACCTTCTTACAGCACTGGTTCCATTAGGCTGTGCTCATAATGTGTAGTAGCTTCAGATTCAATTCCAGGATGTCCCCCTCTGTGCCATGGAAAACAGTATGAAACCATGATAAATGTGTTGGTGTATTTCTTTGAAAATCCCCCTGAATATCTGCTGCCAAGCCACATATTTTCCTCTGTATGTGAAACTTTGAAACTACACGTTGTTATACAAGGAAGCCATTATTTGACTGATAAAACATAATGATATTTTATATTGAATATTTGCGATGCTTACTACAAACTGACCTGCTGTTCATCCTGGTCAACTTGTGATACAGCTCCCCCATTGGACTCTAGAAATACCATATTGGGAGAGTTCCCGTTGTATCCTCTAAAAGCAGTAAAATGTCAGAGGATGAATCCTGTTGTCCATTAGGCTGATCATCTGGAGTCCTTCAAAAAGAAGTGTTGAATGATCAGTCCTCGACGTCCATAGAGAAGAAGCATCCAGAGTTTTCCAAAGATGATTTGCAGTCCAGAAGAGAGGAAGTCTCTATTTACAGAACGGTGACTTCTTTTGATCGTCCGACTGGGAGCAGAGCTGTCGGCTCACCTGTCAAACAAAGAAACAGTGTCAAAAATAAGACATCAATAAAATTCCATCGAAAAAAGTTTGTGGGGGGTTTGACTCTTTTTTTGTAGTGTGTTTGAATGGTACTTGTACATAAATGCCAGCTTGTCTACACGTATTATAACACAATGGACCACTGTGAGGCTGACGCCATGGCTGAGGGTGAAAGAAAAGCACCTACGGTAAAAATAACTTTATTAACAGAAAATCCAACAAAGAAGAGTTGTGACTCCAGCCCACGTTGATTGACATGTCAAACATGTTGGTAAAGCTGTTGCCAAATCAAATGCATTATTCATCGCTGAAGCCTTTCTTTCATTCTTGCAGTTTATTTTTTATATTTTCCACTGTGAGAGAACTTCATTAAATTCAGGGAGGAAATAATAAAACGTTTTAAACCCTGCTGGTGGGAGGATGAATCAGACTTCATGCTCACAGATTTCCTTTGAGGCTTAGTAATACTTTATCATGGGGCGGTTCTACAGGTATAGGCCATGGCTCACTAAAACCAGAGAGGTTTATCCCATTGGGAGCATGAATATAACCTGATGCTCCAAATGGTTTGTTAACACAGAATAATCCCAGAAGCTTTCATTGCAGGTGATTGGATGGACATCTGTCAATCAAATGTCCAGTGAGAAAAGCCTTCAGTGCTCTGTTTGCTCTGTTTTTTAATAAAGTCATACTCTTTCAGGGATATAACTGAGATATTTCAACATCTACTCTAACTTCTTCAGGAGCAGACATTGTTCTCTTTGAGTCGTAACACACATAAACCACAGCCATACGTTGTAATTGCCAAAAGATCTCACGTGACGAGGATCGGTCCAGTTCGGACACAAACACAAAACTTGGCCTGATAAAAGGATTCAGCTGCAATGCAAGGTAAACTAATGAATGTGCCTTGACAATCTTCCTATAACATATCTTGTTTGTGAAGTTATTCTGAAAGATATCACCATTCCTTCATGGGTTCATGGGAAACGCATCATCTTAACTGGCGGTTTGGTTAAAAATAAATCAAGACTGACAACACCAGCGCCTTCAGCTCTTCCACACCAACCACCTGGTCACACAGAGCGTCCTCCTGACAGGATGAAGGACATGTTCCAAGGTCAGGTTGTGGAAATCCCCCAGTATCTAATAAAATACTTCTATTGTCTTCACGATGAGCACATCGATCCATCTGTTAGAGTCAGGATCTAGAATGAAGGAAGCTGGTGAGTTGGGTTTGTGCTCCAAACTAGGGGTTTTCTCTCTTGGTTTGAGGCTGTCAGATACTCTGAAGACCTCCACTCTCCTTGAGATTAAATTGCCTGTCATGAAGACCAGCGGTGAGTGGCAGCTCCTCTGCTCCTCCAAAAGCACATTCAGGAGAAGACTCAGAGGAACATAACATCACAGCCTTTATAACAACGTCCGATCGATTCCCAGCGTCCGTCAGCTGCCACCTCTGTTTGACGGACGCTGGGAAGCCTTCCCCGAACTTGTACGGCTCCATTATGGAAGCTGAACTTTTGATAGGAAACAGACAGTTCTGACAGCCTGGTTGGATTGATTCACAAATGGATCGTTTGACACAGAACAGGCCGCATCAGCAGCGCCACTCTGCACTGTCACGCATCACCCCCCATTATGCAGAAAAGCAAAACAATCCAAAAGCCATCAGGCCATCACTCGACAGAATAGCCTGCATAACCATATTAAAGCCTGGGTAAAGAGTTACCATACATCTAAGATGTCGCAGCGCTCTCTGACCAGCCTGTCATACATTCTTCCCTTAACAGTCATTTACATTCTCAGCTGTCGCCATGATTAATGTGCTACTAATTTGAGAATAACTCCTCGCTGAAAGACAAAGAGCGGAGACGCTTCCTGTCAGAAGAGAATATGTCTTCAGAGATGGATCTACACTGTGTCTCACTTCGGGATGGGGGGGCTTCATTAACAGTATTTGAGTGACTGTGTGACACAATGCTAAAAATACCGAGAGGAAAACCAAGTCTTCTGTGGGTGTTGCGTTTGTTTAATTGGTGGCTGACAAGTGCTAATTTAACTGGTAAAAGATGTATTTCCATTTAGTGCCTGGAGTAAGGCTCTCTGACAGACTTCACACAGCAGGTGCACAGCTCGTGCTTGTGCATTTCAGCGTGTAATTGGCACACCGCAGACCCCTTCTCTGTAATATGTTTGTGTTGTAACAACGGAAGCTGGGGTTTTCATGGTATGGCAAGTCTAAAGGTGCAATATCCAATATTTGTTGTTGAGAAACTGCTTGGGTTATCCGTAAAACAGAAAGGAAGGCTTGAGCTGCAGATTTAACTTTCTCAGCATCATTTAAACTGACTGCTTGTGAAGGAAATGTGAAGTTGTCACTGCGTTCATTTGAATGGTAGCACGGGAATTTGCCTCAGGGCGAACACAGAATGGTAGGAGGAGACGTCGTTCAATAATAATATGACACACTCACCTGATACTACGGTGTGTATCTGTTAGAAACTCACAGGGCAAAGAGTGTTTCACTCATTGGGTAGTCACAGTGACGCTGCACTGATCCAGGTGGCAATAAGGGATAACACTTTTTAAATGTTTGGCAAAAGTGACAAAGATCTTCTACTCCTGAAAACAAGCCAGATGAATAGTGTAAATCACCGCCGTATGTTCTGGTTCCGCCCTGTCGTGATCACCAACCCTGCGATCTTTCCTGGGGGACTCTTGTTTTTCATTTCCCTCTCCCAGTTTCCTCCTGGGGTTACAATTCTCCCCATCTATGAATATTTGTCACACCTTCTTCTGTAACACAACCTGTTTCTGGCGCTGTGCAGTGAGTGTTCCCATCAGGACTCGTGCTTCCTCCTCAGTGGGAGGCAGAGAGGGAAATGGAAAGTACTTCATGGATGGAAATACTCATATACTCAATAGACACGTTCAGACACCATGGAAAGAAGAATTCCCATTTTAACTTCAATGTTTGAAGGAAGAGGCATGCTATTTTCCATTGAGAGGCCAAGAGTGCACAGAGTCTAAGATATAGAATACATGGAAACTGATGAATATGATTTTATGCCACTGAAGTTCGTGCCAGAGGGAAGAATTATTCTGTCTTTTAGAAATATTCATAGTGTTTTAGGTCCCATTGTCTACATTGATCTCTTATTGGAAAAGGTCCCACCACTTTAGAAGAGGCAATCAGAAACTCATTATCCTGTTTTATTTGACAGTGCTGAAGTGATGAAGATAAAACGCTTATGGCAAATCTGCTTGCTGTCAGACATTACTCAAAAGGTGTAAAACCCTAGGCTCCCTTTACCATTGATAGAGATCATCAAATACATCTATATTGAAGAAATTGATATGCTGCCTCTCCAAGAAAAATGAACACATACATTTTGAAGGTGGACTGAATGTGTTCATAGGAACAAGACTGTATTTGAAACATGCCAGCCACACGTTTTTTGTAAAGGCAACATAGTTATGTTGCATAAAAACAAAGGCTGCTGTTATATTACAGCCGATGGATAAGGATCATGATTGTGGTTCTTCTTGATGGTTCGTTTTTTTGTTTGTCTTCCTCGACACTTCCTTTACAATTTAATTATGTCTCACTTATTATTTTATTTCCATCCATTTAAGTGATCAAATTGGGTCTTTCATTTGTGCATGAAAGTAATTTATTAAAGATTCAGAGATTGTTGTCTTAATGATATCGTTTTTTTTAAAGTCCAAAAGATGGTAACCTCTCACTACCATGTACAAGTAGAGCTGCTTGTGCTAGCGGCTAGCCTAGAGCCTAGAGACAAATGGAGTTGTGTGTTGAGCTTAGGAACGTTACTAACGGAGTGAAATGACCCAGAAGAACATCAGTGGCAGCCATGATATAAGCTGTTCAGGCTCTCTAGATCAGGGGTGTCAAACTCAATTGAAACTTTAACACTAAATAAATATCCATATATCAAATGTAATATATTACATACATTCAGTGCTGAACCGTCAGGGCCTTCAAGGTATTCAGAGAATACCCTGGAACACTCAGATAAAACAAACAAAAAATCGATTTAATTATATAAATAAAATGTATATAAAATGAATAAATGAGAATCGTATCTGTGTTGATCTGTAATAATACAGTGTTACTTTGATTTGTTTGTCCTTCTCGGCAGGGGCCGTTCTAGGGGGGGGGGGGGGGGGGGGGGCAGTGCCCCCCTAACACTGACCTCTGACCCCCTGTGGCCCCCCTAAAAATGATAAGGGAAAAAAGTGAAAAAAATGTATGATTTATTACACGATTTATTGAATGACGGAATAGGCGGAACTAACGTTATTTGTCATTCTAGTCGGACCCATTAGAGCGGTGCACTCAGGACCCATTAGAGCGGTGCACTCACTTTCACTGTCCGGCTGAAGCGCGCGAAAAACAAACACTTTTCATCTCGGATCATCAGAGGCTGTTGCATCCAAGAAAGACTGGTTTCGAGAGACTACCACGATAATTGAAGGTGAGTTAAACTATTGTATCCGTGTAATTGTAGATGTAAAGTAGAGATGTAACTGTTCATTGCCTTTATTTTTATATAAATATGATATGGTGTTAGTGCAAAAATGGTACTATAACTTAAGCTGAAGCTAACAGTAATAACTATAAGATCTATCTGAAATAAATAAGTGTACTGAAACAAATACCAATAACTGTATTGCATTGTTTTCTTATGCGCAATTACTTCATACTGTCTAGTTCTCTTTTTCGTCCTGCATTTAAATAACTGGCCCCCCAGTGGCCCCCCCAGTCAAATTGGTCTAGAACCGCCACTGCTTCTCGGTCCATGCACTACGCATTTCAGTGGTTTTGTGTTAGAAAAAAAATGCAACTAATCAGATATTTTTCTGGGTCTCTGGGAAGAATATCCTTGACAGTTTGATCAACCAATCATATATTGATTTGTAGCCAATGGGCGTATTCTTTCAGAGTTTCCCTCGGTTCCAGGGTACTCTAGAAGGCCCGGTAGGCTCGAGACAGAGGATCTAGATAATGCGACGTAGCAATTAATTTGCCGGTTTATTGTTTTTAACGTTGCAATTACCGTAACACCAGTACTTTAAATATAAATCCATGTATATATACATATATATATTGAGGAAGCGGCTGCCTTTTGGTTCTTTGACTTTTGGTGGCTGAGGTCAGCGTACTTTGCTCCATGTTTGGTGTCGTTGTGCCGCTGTTTCTTGGGCTCTGTCACTGACCGAGTTTCTTTTCCAACCTAATGAAGAATATATCACTGTTGTCCACGTTCATAAAGCATAGAACAACACCATCAGAGCACGGTGCAAAGTCTCTAGATGTCTTCCAGTAGTCCTCTATACAGAGAACTGTAGTTTCCTCCCAGCAGACGCACATTAAGAACATCCTCTGGTGCGTCATTAATATGTCTGATAGTGTCAGTGCAGTCAGATTCTCTTGAAGCCCGGTCGTCTTTTTCTAAGTCCTTTTGAATTCTCCTATCCACTATTCTTTAACCCTGTGACGTTTCACTCAGAGGTCAAGCAATAGTGGATAGGGAAAGACGATAGGAGCCGATTATTGGACAATTCGACCTCAACCTCTCTCTCCCTGCTGCTGTGTCCTGTCCAGTGAGAGCTTTGTTTACTCTGTGAACCCTCACTGTTTTTCCTGTGTGTGTAAATGAATGTATGATACGCAGCAGAGGTCAGTGTAGCTAAAGGTTCCATCTTTATGTTGGGCTGTTACTCCTAAATCTCTGCAGAGGTGAAGAAGAAAGCCCGACCCCCTGCAGAAAGCTTTCTAGAAATGTGTTCCTCCAGCTGAGTTCAAAGGTGTGAGAGGAATCTGAGGGTGAAGCTGAGACTTCGAACATGTTGTTGTTGTCTTAGTGGATCACCTGTCTATCTCCTCACTATCTGTGGTGTAGTCTCACTACCGGGACACGGGTTAATAATACCATGCGCCTCTTCTGTTTAAATGAAAATCTGACACTACACAGTAATTGATATGCATCCATTCTTTTTGTACGATGAAGAAATAATGAGACATAATCTCAGTTGGGAATCTCTCTGAGTTTTTCATTTGGAAGATACGACCACAGCAAATGAAGATATAAATATATATTTAAAAGGTTTATTACCTGGACTCCGCTGTGAAGCATCTGACGTTACCACAGCTGCTCGTTGTCTCCGGAAATCTTCCACGGCGTTAAAGAAGACAACAAAAGAAAATATTTTTAATTTTCATACTTTCACCGAAATTCAAATTACAGATATTAGACGGACCTTTCTCAGAAACGTGGCCACTAAAAAAAACAAGAAAACATTTATATATATAAATATATGGTATCCAATGTTGAGGTCCCGACCAGTCCCTGGATCAATAGCTCCCGGCTCCAGGCTCCCGGCTCCAGGCAGGTGTGGTGCGGCAGTTTAAATAATTAAGTACATGGAGTGAGGCAGAAGTCTACGGGTCGTCATAACACACTGAAGGATACGGCATCACGTTACAACGTTAAAAGCAGGTAATTGGAGTGAGTAATTGGCCAGGTTGGGTGCCCAAAGTGGCCTGAAAGTGCTAAGGAGACATGGCAGCCCATTGATTACAGGCCCCTGGGGGTCCCAACACCGACTGCGAACATTAGCTGTTTTTAGGTGAAGGCAGTGCCAGACGACAACCGGTTGACTTTGAAGAGTCGATGTGTGAGCAGCCTCCAGATCTGAGAGGAGCCACGAGAAATACCTCCATCCTGTCCGGCAGGCCAGCAGCTAACAGGTGGTGTAGAAGCCTACGTCAACTTTCTATATTACCTCAGTACAGGTCGCTATCACGACCAGTAGTGGGGTTGTTACTTAAAAAAAGTAATGCATTACACATCCTAGTTACTTTTGAAATAAAGAAATGCCTTATTTTACTAATAAATAAGTCACTTCTGAAAGTAATAAGTTACAATCATTTTGGATAACTCTTAAACATCACCTGAGATGCACCATAAATCAATGAAAAATAACAATATAAAGTGAAACGATAGTTACGTCTGTAACTACGGTTCTATGAGTCCCGGATGACCACCAGAGGTGGTGTTTTAGCACTGGATATGTCTATTGCGCGCATGTACCAATAACAACAAAGTCACCTGTGACCCACGTGACACCGGCTATATCAGCCAGTGTCATCAGAGGATCTGTTCCCAGAATCTTCTCGCGAGCACACAAGAATTCTGAGTGACATGACCATGTCATGGGTTCTTCATGACATGGTTGGTATAAGTCATCCAGTGCTAAAGCACTACCTCTGGCGGTCATCCGGGTCTCATAGAACCGTAGTTACAGACGTAACTATTGTTCTATTTCGTCCCTACTGACCGCCAGAGGCAGTGCTTTAGCACTGGATGACTTATACCAACCATGTCATGAAGAAACCAAATACTCACCTAGCTGGAAGCAGCGGAGCTTGGCAACAGGACCACGCCCCAAAGGATGGGGGGTGGCGACATTGACCCAGTAGAACCTGGAGAATGTGCCAGAAGACGCCCAAGACGCCGCGGCGCAGATGGTCTCCAGGGGCACTCCTGTCAGGGCGGCCCAAGACGTTGAGACGCTCCTTAGAGTGGCATCCCTGATGGCAGGGGGCGGCCACTGGCCCCATAGGCATGTGCGATTGTATCAACAACCCAGTGGGACAGCCACTGCTTGGAGAGAGCACAACCCTTCCTAGTGCCGCCATGTCAACGAAGAGCTGCTCTGACTGCCGTATACAGGCCGTAGCATCGACATACGCTCTTAGGGCACTGTGAAGGACCTTTTAAACGGACATAAAGTTCTTTCGGGCTCTCCTGTGGTTCAACCTCATTACTGCGAAACCTTTGTCTGTAGGTTTCTGGATCTGGCGTTAATAACGCGTTAACGCAAAAAAAAATTAACGCCACTAATTATTTTAACGCGATTAACGCATGTTGATGTGATATGCACCTTCCTGGGCGGACCACAGACCCTGAACAGTCCTGCCCGGCCACACCGCACCCCACCCTGAGAGACATGCATCTACAGTGACAGTCTCCCGGCGGGATGGGATGGCGCCCATGGGCACGCCCATCAGAAGATAGGCCCTGTTTCTCCAGCGTGACAGGGAGTGAAGGCACTGGTGCGACACCCTGACCTTCCTGTGCCTGTGCCACTTGGCGTCCAAGTTAAGGCTGTTCAGCCACATCTGCATGGGGCGCAGTGACAGCAGGCCTAAGGGCACAACGGCTGAGGCAGCCGTCAGTCTGTCCAAGAGCCGGAGGAACTGAATGTAAGGCACACTCTTGCCCAGCCTGAAGATGGGGAGAAGGTGGGAAATGTCGTCCACACGACGAGGTGTCAGGTAGGCCCTCATGGCGACCGAAGCTAGGACCAACCCCAGGTAAGTGACCCGTTGGGAGGGGACCAGGCAGCTCTTCCCGGTGTTTACTGACAGGCCCAACCGGGCTACGTGCCATAAGAGGCGCGCCGTATCCTGGGCCACTTGGGACCGGGACGGCGCACAAACCAGCCAGTCTTCTAGGTACGGCAGGACCTTCATGCCCTGTGCCTGCAGGGGTGCAAGAGCTGCCGCCACGACCCTGGTAAACAACCTTGGAGAGAGGGAGAGACCGAAGGGCAAACCTCAGGAACTTCCTGTGGTGGGACGCAATCGGCACGTGGAAGTAGGTGTCCCTCAAGTCCACGGTTGTGAACCACTCCCCCTGTATGACAACACGGAGGGTGTCTGCTGTGGTCAGCATATGGAAGGGCAGCACCTTCAGGAATCTGTTGATTCCTCTGAGGTCCAGTACTGGACGAAATCCGCCGACTTTCTTGCTCACCAGAAAGTACGCCGAGTAGAACCCCCCGGACTGAAGCAGGGGGTCTACTGGCTCGATTGCGCCCTTGGCCAAAAGGACGGACATTTCTTGGGCCAGAGCTAAGGCCTTCGCCGGGTTGCTGACAACTGTCATCTTGACCCGGCCGAAGGCTACGGGCCGGCGTCGGAACTGCAATTCGTATCCCTGGGTTAGGATGGAAACCACCCAAGGGTCGGAAGTACAGGCAGCCCAGTAGCTGAGCTGCTGCTGGGGAAATCAGCCGACGACCGGCCCCGGAACTTCAGGGCCTAGCCCCCCGGCCCCTTGGGGGGCGGCGGTAAGACTCTGGGGCACGGGGCTGCTTAGAGGGCCGACAACCGGGGGCACGAAAGTCATTGGGAGGCAGTTGAGTGGACCGCTGGGACCTCCGCAGACCACCACTGTAAGCCAGTGGCGGAGTGTGGCTGCTAGAGGGGCCCCTGGGCCTGCTGGGTGTAGGCACAGCAAAAATGTCTTTTGCTTTTAATCTGTAAAGCACTATGAATCGCCACATGCTGAAAAGTGCTATATAAATAAAATTGCCTTGCCTTGCCTTACGTAGACCCGAGAGCTGCTGCCTGGTCTGCTTAGCTTGGGCAGCACGCTCTAGTGTCGCCAGGGCAGCTGCTCCAAACAGCTCCCCTGGTTTGACTGGCATGCCGCGGAGGACACTCCTACATGTCTCCGTTAGTGGTGAATGAGCCAGCCAAACCTGGCGTTGAGTCTGCACCAGTAGGGACATAACTCGTCCCAATTCCCTAGTCATTAGAGCAAAAGCCTGCAGTGATGCATTACTGAGGCCCAGCAAAGAAGGCTCAGCCGGAGCCTGCTGCAGAGAGGCGGAGGCGGCCAGCATTAGATGGGAGAGAGAGTTCCTGATACGACCCATGCGTGCCGCTGCGTCATAGGCCTTACAGAGCAGTTCGTCAGTGACCCTGCACTGAGGCCGAGGGCACCTGGCATCAGGCCATCAGGAGCCATAATCAGGGAGGCGATGAAGGCGACTTCATCGTGTCGATGTCGGCAGCTAACCGATCCACCTAAGAGGACAGCCTGTTTTTAGTCCTCCTGTTGGGGGGCGAACCTGTAGCCATCGCTCCCTCGGGTCGCCGGGAACGGCCGAACTGAGCTGGGGGAAGATGCGACAAGGAGAGGTGTCCGTTGGTTGCTGCCAGACGCTCCACCTCTGCGACTCTGAGCGCCCAAGGCATGCAGCTACAGTTCATGCAGGTGTCCTGTGTGAGACCCTCCCTCAAATGCTCTAGACCAAGGCAAGAGGGGCAGCAGTCGTGGCCATCCTCGGGCTCGAGAGAAGCTATACAGGCGCTACATGGATGAGCCATCATGTAGGTAGCCGGATGCAGCGTAACCGGGAGCGGGGTGCGAGAACACAGCCTTCACCAGTTACCTGCTGAACGGAAGGAGTAGAGCCCTGCTCCTACTCGCCGAACACGAGAGGGGTGTAATGTCCTACACCCGCGTTACTAGCAGAGGGAGCGGGGAGCGAGAGCACTGCCTTCACCTAGCTGAGTAAACGAAGCACAGAGCTACCAGCAGAGGGAGCGGGGAGCGAGAGCACTGCCGTCACCTAACTGAGTAAACGAAAGCGCAAAGCTACTAGCAGAGGGAGTGGGGAGCGAGAGCACTGCCTTCACCTAGCTGAGTAAACGAAGCACAGAGCTACTAGCAGAGGGAGCGGGGAGCAAGAGCACTGCCTCACCTAGCTGAGTAAACGAAGCACGGAGCTACCAGCAGAGGGAGCGGGGAGCGAGAGCACTGCCTTCACCTAGTGTAAACGAAGCACAGAGCTACCAAATAACGAAGCTTGACAGGGCAGCTAGCCAGCCGGCTGCTAATCACAGTCAAGAAACACTCTTACCAGGAGCGGGGGTGAAAACATTGCCTTCACTGGTTGAGTAAAATAGTGAAACACAAGCTAAGGAAACATGGCTTCTAAAGAAAAAACAGCATGAGTAATCCGGTGCTTACCTCAAGCGTCAGCCAAAGTGGCTGACCGGGCAGGACACGGTTAGGCCAAGCTGCGCTACTGCTAACTAGCTAAACAAGAGGACACAACAAAAGCTGGAACTCAAGATGCTAATAATAGCTTGGCGCAACGCTGCGCTATCAGAAAAGTACAGAGAGCGCAACAAGGGCAACTCCTGGGAGAGGGGGCAGAAACGCTGCCGTCACCAGAAAGTTCAAGCCAGGTAGCAACCAAGACAGAAATCAGGACAACTTAGCTAGGAGAGGGAGTAGAAACACTGCCGTCACCGACCAAGCCGACACCAACCTGTCCGTTGAAGTTTTCTGCGCAGCCGGCCACATAACAGCTCCTGGAGGACGGGTAACCCCGCGGCTCCGACTGGATCAGTCGCGAAGCTGCACGCAGCCAGCTGGATGCAGGGAAATCCTTAAATCAAACGTTCCAACTGAACGCTGTAGGCTACAATATTGTAGCCACGGTACTCTCGCGAAGATGAAAAGGAACAGATCCTCTGATGACACTGGCTGATATAGCCGGTGTCACGTGGGTCACAGGTGACTTTGTTGTTATTGGTACTCGTACGGTGCATGCGCGCGATGGACGTATCCAGTGCTAAAGCACCGCCTCTGGTGGTCAGTAGGGACGAAATAGAACCAATCCTTAATCTAATCAGGACAGTACTGAACACAGACCAGCTCCGATTCCATCAGAACTGTGGTCCAGGTAACTTCAAAGGTGTTCTGTTGGATGGAGGCTGCCCCCGCATTACCTGTATCTTGCTCAATATGTTTCTGAAAGATGGTGATTCCACCGTGGAAACGGGCAGCATTACCCGATACTGATCATGACATATCTAGTACGGCGTTTTTCAGCATTTGTATACTAAAGATACTCTTACACTTTTACGGTAAGTACATCTTGATTTAAGCTTGTTTTTAGATTAACATCCCAGTTTGCAAACCAAGCCTGCGTTAGCTAGTGACTTAGCATTTACTATGCTAATAGTCCCTGGCCCCATCTGGCCAAAATACAAATACAATGGCAACTCCAAACTGAATGCTAAGTTGATAACAGTATTCTATAAAAGTCACAGTGGCTATATCTACTTTTTGTCTGCAACCTATTGGTAGAGGTCAGATTGTTAGATGAAAGTGTTTGTTAATTAAACTTACCTTGGTGGTTTTGATCTTGTTCCCTGTAGCACAGCTCCAGCCCTTCAGATCAGGAAGGACTTTGCATTCCTCCCCGTCAAGGCACGGATGCATCTGACACCACCACTTCTGTTCCACTATCGAGGCTGGGGGGGGTACACGCCAGAGAGAACATATTCAGAACCTCTTTATTCAGGTGGCTTGCCCGCTGCCTTTCAAAGACCCTGATCAACTTTATGGGAATCTATTCATAGGGCAAGTAAACCCCAACATTTACAAATGAGCAAAACCAAAATGATGTTTCATCTGGATCAACAAGTGTTATATAAAAGTGCTGACAGCTGTAACAAATAATACGTTAATTATGTAATAATAAATAAGATAAAACATGTCCTATAGTTCTAAATTACATAAACATGCAGACCAGACACCTTTATGAAAGAGTAAGCTAGCGTGACATCACGGAGGTGGTTGCAGTTAGATGGGTGCAGAATTATTGCAGGTGCAAACTATAGAGTTCTACCCCTAGATGTTTGCTACAGGAATACAGCTTTTATTGTTATTCTATTTTTTTTTTTAATGAAGATGACTTTTTCCCCTAACTGTTTTGCTGCAACTTTATTGAAACCCAGAGTCTGAATGAAGCGTGCTCCATGCATCAACCGCCTGAGATAAAGCAACCCTCAAATAGCTGTTTCTCAACACGTCACATTCTGACAGCTGTCAGGTAAATGATGTAAGGTTTGCTTTGTGACTGGCAACACTTGGTAAATCTATTTTGAGTATTCAAACACTTCAGTGAGATCCTTGTCAAACATATCTACGTGTTCACCGGGTGAAAAAGAACTGGAGCCGAGGGGAAGCTGCCTCCATAACGAGTGCATTAGGCTTCTGCTACTCATTTGTACCAGACACCATTTCAATTTGCCATATTACAGAGGTCATTATCTACACTGCACATGCCACTCTAGCAGCATTAGTGTTCTCTGCTAATGAAGAGGACTGCTATCATAATCCACACAGAGCACCTGAGCCTCGCAGTGATCGCCTCAGAATGGATACTTTATGACATGAGGTTATAGCAGCAGTGAGCATCAGGTCAACTGCAAGCAGGTGGTGGTTTTATAACAGCTATTTAAAAGCCACAAAGGTTTCTCATAACATTGTATGGGAGTATTGATAAGCAAACATACATTAACTGCATGGGATACGTTTCATTGAACAGTTAATGATGCTGTAAAAACACGAGGGCCGTTGTCAAACTGAAAACATCTGGGAGCAGAAAATAGATCTGTTTTCATTTTCTTTATTGTCGCTGTTAGAAACAACGGGTTGCTTTTAACCTTGAGCTATGCTCGTTTACGATCAGTAGTGTGTTTGCATCTTATATTAAAGCTAGCATTGCTTAATTGCAATCATTTGCAAGCATTAGTATCACATCGGCGCACTGAAAAACAGTACAGAAGATAGAGAGTTCTCTTGCCTGTTATGCTGGTTGTGGTGTTCCCCCTCCTGTAGTGTGTTCTATAGGTGTTAGTGCATGTAAATGGTCTGCAAAGGATCACATCCCTGTGTTCCCTCCAGAGGGAGTTTCTCTCCCACACACATCTTTCAATTTGTGTGCATCTTTATTAGTTAATCGAATCACAATCTCTTCATAGTTTCCGCCATGGTCGGTCACATGACCGTTGGGTAAGTCAGGCAGCCAGGGGCAGTTAGGCAGCCAGGGGGCAGTTATTAGTGACAGACCAGAATTACTGTGGCATATCACATTTAAACTGAATAATAAATATCACATTAACCTTTTTACACTTACATTGTTGTTCAAACTAAATATTTTGTTAACTATGGATTTGGATGGATTTTTTTCTCTCTATACAATATACATTTACAGTCTTAAAAAAAAGCCAACCAGGCCTACTAAGTAAGTGCAGGGTAATACCACACACATCTAAGGAAATTGGTATTTTATAATCTTCAGGATCTTTTCTTTTCTTCACACTGTTAAATCTATATTTATATTTAATTCAATATGCCATTCCTTGCACACTTGTAAATAAATAATATCCTACTCTTCATAGTGTTTATTTGTCAGATACTACATCACAAATCCATCCACTACCTGTAAACTACTTCAACTACAAACACGTACATGGACATTTGTAGTTTAGTCATACAATAATCTTTTAAAGATTTCTTTACTTTTATCGCTTTTTCCAAAGTCACCATAAACAACTAAATGTGTTTAAGTCAAAAGGTATTATCTTCTGCTGTACCTTTCTAAATTACACATTCAAATCCATTGAAGTTCAGCTGTCTGGAGGTCCATTTGTCTTCCTTTAAGAGGACTTTGTCTCACACACAGCGCGTGGCTAAAGGTAATCCCTGGTTGTAGAAGAAAGAATAATTAAAAGGTTAAGTGCTGAACATTTTCTTCTGAGATCATCCATGGAGCTTTAAACCGAGGCCAGTGGCTCACAACGCTAATTTGCAGAAAATGTCAATACTAAAATGTCAAGGAATAGGTCAAACATGATTGGGTCCGGAGTTTAGCCTGAAATCAGGCTTCTCAGACGAAAGAGAAGCAGGAACTTGAGCAGAGTCCGGGCTCCCTCATTAGCATGCTCAGAATCTCTGGGGGCCATTAAGAGGCAGCGGGCGCTACATACCGTTCACAGGTGATTATAGGATGGTGAGGCCCTGCAGCAGGCACTATTCACTGGGAGCGTTCATTCTGATATAACAGCATTACGCCAGTCTAATTTCATTGGATTAGACAGGATAATAATGACCAATGGAAGGCCAGCTCTGTCCTGGGGAGTCCTCTGGACACTGTGGAGGTGGTGGGAGACAGGAGAATGGCAGCCAAGCTGTCCTCGCTGCTGGACAATGTGTCCCACCCCCTCCAGGACACCCTGTCCTCACTGTGCAGCTCCTTCAGCGATAGGCTGCTGCACCCCACCTGTCACACGGAGAGATACCGCAGGTCCTTCCTTCCTGCAGCGGTCAGACTATACAACCAGCACAGCCCCTAGTTGACCCCCCACACACCACAACACAGACTATAACACCCCTTGCTGCTAAATACCAACAAACTATGTGCAATATGTGCAATATATAAACGCCGTTAATAACTGTGTAATTTATACCTGGCTGCTAAATCCTTAGAACTGTTACAAGGTGTGTATTTTGTAAATTGTGTAACTTGTGTAACCAACCACCTGTGTGCAATATGTGCTAGATGTGTAATATATATAGATGCCATTAATAACTGTGTAATATATACCATGGCTGCTAAATCCTAAGAACTGTTACAGGATGTCAAACTGTGAAGTCCACTGAGACAAATGTAACATTTGTGATATTGGGCTATATAAATAAACATTGATTGATTTATGTGTATTTTTTAAAATGATGTAACTTTTATTTTTTTTTAATTATATTTTGTATTATATCATAACTTAGTACTTTTTTTTAATGCATGTCACATATTTAACATATGTAACATTAAGCTGTCAGTGGCTCGTGTTGCACATTTCCCCTCCGTGGGACTAATAAAGGTATTCTGATCTGAATCAAATGGAAGCACTGCTGCTACCAAAAACTAAAGATACACCTTTATTTTCAAATTCTCCATTTACGTGTCCACCATTTCCACCACCTTCCTAAACATTCAAACAGATATTAAACAAATGTGGCAATTTATAATGAACTGCAGGGGGTATATTTGTTTTAGTTGTTTTTATTTTCTTATTTATTGTTTTAATATATGGAAAAACCCACGTAATCAGATTGTCCCAATCATATTTGAGTTGCTCTTTGCGAGTTGATGTGAATGTAACTGACTTTGTTGAATGGGAAAATTATAATATGGTTGTTTTAAAGACCCTGCATTTAATTGAATAAAAATCATTGCAGACTTGTCATATCGGAAAATGTTGTTTTGTTGTCCAAAGAATCAATAAAATGTTGTCACATGATGAAACGTCAAATTAAGACCCCTAACCATTTCACAGAATAAATAAGATAGACCACCCCAATACTACTGTTATTACTATGACATTATTGCAGCAGCTCATACTATCTACCAACAACTGTCCTGTACAGTCTTCAAAGTTATATATAAGGAACCTTAAAGAGAAGACTGATCAACTACAAGCTTGACTTTGAAAAAACGTACTAAAGAATTACTGTCATTATGTGGGAGACAACCCCCCCGAAACACATACTTGAGACTGATGTCATTTCCCCAGCTATCCGCATTTCTTCTCTTCGCTCATATTTCACGGTGTGCACATAAAAACGTGCATGTTTCGGCACTGTTGGTGGCCAATTGTATAAAACAGAAAATTGGAAAAACATTTATCAAATCTGAAAAAGTGTGTACATTTGTACCTTCAAAAGTATTAGCGGTAATTCAAGTTTAAAAGTCTCAAAAAAGCTACAACTACTGTCACAAACTGGATGAATGTGAAGTATTTTGTTAAAGGAGGATGAAAGCATAATTAAGGAGCACTATTGGAGTGACTTTGATGGTTATTGGACTCAGGATTCATTCATTTGGATTCCCGCTGTATGAAGAAATTAAAGGACGGCGCAAGTGGAAACAATTCACAAAGGGATTAAACTGTTTAAAACACATGCTCAAAGTAAGCCGGATTTTGCCGATGTGTTTATGTGGATTCAAAAGTCATAAATAATCTACAAAATGGAGGAGACCAATCTGATCGGAGCAACTGTGACGACGAATAATCCAACTGAATTCGGCATGGACAATGACTATGTTTTAAAAATGCGCTTATCCAGACAAGCCCGGTTTGGACACTTTACGGGCAGAAGAAACATTTCTATTAAAGAAAGAATTATACATTTATGTCTTTTTATGCCTCTTGCTACTAACTTGAATTTGTATTCAAATTAATTAATCAATTATTTGTTATACTTTATTGTAATGTAGAGCACAGAGAATAATAAAAAAGTCTTAATATGATATTCGGCCTCAAATCATCTGAGGCCTGGCGCACCCCCTGCGATCTTTGGCGCGCCCCCAGGTTGGGAACCACTGCCCTAGAGCATGCACAGCTGTATCACCTATTTTACTCTAAATTGGACAGTCATTTACAAAATAGACCTTTCGCCTCTGTGGGACAAATAAAGGATTTCTGATTCTGATCCATATTAAAGAAGACCATTAACTCATCTTTACAAGGTTGAGAAGTATGGTCGTTTCTTCATAGATGTCTATACAATTGGACAGAGGAGCTACAATAAATCATTTAAGCATAGGAACTTCTGCATTGCCACTTTTCAGTACTGGAGTTTGTCATGTGGTTAGGCTGGCAGTTTATACAAATTGGACTGTTCCACTTGGATTAAAACCTCTGAAGCTATTTTGTTCATCTACAGTAGGAGCAATACATTGGTGGCCTTCCTCGCTCTTTGTCTGTCCTGTGGCCGCTCACTTTGTGGTTGAACCAACATCCCCCGTGATTGACTGTATCAGAATACTGAAGATGGCCCCGCCCTAGCCGAAGTTCTAACAGACCTTGCTCATCTCAAAATGTTATCATTTGTCGGGTTTGTTGTATTATTGTTTATAAGAGCGGAAATCCATTTAGTGTATCAGCTTAACATGGTTGACTGCTTTTATCCAATTCAAGCAAAGAACATTAGAAATCTGGACTGAAAGTTTAACAATTGTTTGGGATAATTGCTCACCTTAACGCTGGGCTTGAATTATGAAATGTGATTCATATGAATATTTGCTTGGTGACTATTGTTTATGAAAAAATCCCATGAAATTTGACGACAGTGTCCTGGAGCATGACCTTTTGTCTGGGACACACACATGCTCTGCACTGGAGATACTAACTGAAATGTGTGTACAGAACATTCTGCTTCATGACTGAAGGCATGTAAATGTCCTTTAATACACTGTAATGATAATCTACTTATTGCTAAAACACCTATGGATGATCCCAGTAAAGGTGTCCAGTCTGTCTATTCCCCCCCGCCTGTGTTATGTCTGTTGTTACTTCCTGTCTCTGTGTTTCCCTCCTGTGGATTACTGATTCTGTTCACCATGTGTTGTCCCCCCTCCCCAGCGGTGTCTTGTCCTTGTGATTAGTCCTGCATGTGTTTGAGTTCTGGTTCTCTGTTAGCTGTTGTCAGACCCTGTTTGAGGAATTGTTCTGGATTATCCTATGGAGGCTTTTGTTACTTTAGTTTGGCCTTGCCTTGTCCTGCTCTACTGATTAAAGGTATTTTCGGTTGAACTTTAGTCAGTCTGCATTAGGGTCCACCCTGCTCTGCTCTAAACCCTGACAGAAGTGTATCCTGATGACTGGTTAGAACCTGATCACGGCCCATGATGCATTGCTCTGCAGCGTACCGTCGACACAGGAGGGGGCTGCTCGGGTAGTCCCGGCCACCTGCCCGGGGAAGCAGGAGCACTTCACAGTTTGGGAGCGCTCCTCGATCTTGTTCTTGTTGCAGCAGCGGTGCAGCGCCACCACCTCGCAGGTGCCGGTCCGGACCTGGTGCGCTGCTGGAGGAACACAGAGGAGAAGTCAGGGAGCATTCAGTGGTTATTATCTTCATTTACACAGACACACTGGTGGTTCTGGACTGAGTCCCAGAAGCCCCTCACTGGGGTCTCCATTGTCTGCCCTGCATCTGCTCCTCTGCACAGATGACCAGGGAGACACACTACACTTCCTTTTAAAAGGAACTCTTTATCACAGCACTCAGCCTTCTGTGTCTTCTGAAAGGTGTTTCAAATGAGGACAATTTGGCATTATCTTAATTTGAATATATTTCTGAACAGAACAGTTTGTTAAAATGTGACAGTAAAATATTTCTCTAGAAGGAATATTCTAGAAGGAATATTGGATATGTCTATGAACACTCCATAAATGAGAACAAATATATAAGTTATCTTTTAGGAATAACATGTTCCATAAATCAGGCTATGAAGGATATATGGAGAAACCTCTCAGTAAACAAACGTTAGAATATAGATAGAAATACATTTGCATGTTTGACATTAGTGCTACTGAAGTTGAGATTTGACTACAGGTGAACAGGGTCAAACTAATATTGGATAACACAGTGAAACTCCTCAAGTTGATTACTTTCAGTCTAGTTTTTTGAATAATTATGTTTCAATAGGCAAATCATGCATTATTTAATGCTTTTAAGAGAATATACATACAAAAATATACAAATGTAGCTATTTTCTGTACACTATTTAAAAGGACATGTTATGGAAGCAAAATGGCCCAAACTCCATGAAAAAACAATGTTTATTTTATTTTTGAGGTTGAATGCTAGTTGCATTCATACGCCTGTGTATCCCATCTATACTATGACTGATGGCATCAGTTCATCACGGCTGTTTTTTTTAATGGACACACTTTCTCACAGAAGACATAATAAAACAGTTTTCAAAGGGGGAGTAGTGTCTGTTGGGAGCCCCTCAGAAATGTCCTCTCTAAAAGTATAAGTCAAAATTCAAGAACTGATATGGCTTCACCCACATCATTAAGAACTGTATTTTCACCATGCTCAGTTTTGCTCACATTTGATGAATGCAAAGATACCTTTGAATAAATAATAAAGTATGACGTATGATATGGTAATGATTGGAACTGATACCGTTCTAGTTTCCCACAACAGCCTTTAAAATATCCAGGTATGTGAAGGGGAAAGTGCAGCGCTGCAGTATTTGGAGCCAATTTCCAGATCACGCTCCATTGTCTGAATTATTTACAGCCTGAGCTACTCCTTTCACTTTTAATTGCATGTGACATTTTCTTGAGGTGTCCTTCTGCTGAGAGGCTCACTGCTGCAGCAAACAGTAAATGTGAAATGATTGTGTGAAACTGGTCCAGACTGTGTACTTTTGCGGACCGCCGCTCAGCTAAACCAGTTAATTATGTTCTCACTTCAGCGTGTTACATCGGTGGACAGCAGTGCTTTCCAGCTGCTGAAACATCAATACTGAGACAACAGTCAGCCGCTCTGCTGAGGCTGAGAAAACCTCACAAAGATGTTCTGCAACCGGTGAGCTTCACTATATCCCTGAGAATCACCTACTGCAACCTTTTCAATTAAGAACTCAGGCAACACGGCACTTTCAATAAATTAAAGGGGCCCTATTCTGCTGATGTTCAGGTGTATATCAGTATGTAGTGTCTCTACTTTAAAGAGTCCTCTCCTGCTGATGGTCAGGTGTATATCAGTATGTAGTGTCTCTACTTTAAAGAGTCCTCTCCTGCTGATGTTCAGGTGTAATATCAGTATGTAGTGGTCTCTACTTTAAAGAGTCCTCTCCTGCTGATGTTCAGGTGTATATCAGTATGTAGTGTCTCTACTTTAAAGAGTCCTCTCCTGCTGATGTTCAGGTGTATATCAGTATGTGGTGGTCTCTACTTTAAAGAGTCCTCTCCTGCTGATGTTCAGGTGTATATCAGTATGTAGTGTCTCTACTTTAAAGAGTCCTCTCCTGCTGATGTTCAGGTGTATATGTAGTGTCTCTACTTTAAAGAGTCCTCTCCTGCTGATGTTCAGGAGTATATCAGTAGGTAGTGTCTCTACTTTAAAGAGTCCTCTCCTGCTGATGTTCAGGAGTATATCAGTAGGTAGTGTCTCTACTTTAAAGAGTCCTCTCCTGCTGATGTTCAGGTGTATATCAGTATGTGGTGTCTCTACTTTAAAGAGTCCTCTCCTGCTGATGTTCAGGTGTATATCAGTATGTAGTGTCTCTACTTTAAAGAGTCCTCTCCTGCTGATGTTCAGGTTTATATCAGTAGGTAGTGTCTCTACTTTAAAGAGTCCTCTCCTGCTGATGTTCAGGTGTATATCAGTATGTAGTGTCTCTACTTTAAAGAGTCCTCTCCTGCTGATGTTCAGGTGTATATCAGTATGTAGTATCTCTACTTTAAAGAGTCCTCTCCTGCTGATGTTCAGGTTTATATCAGTAGGTAGTGTCTCTACTTTAAAGAGTCCTCTCCTGCTGATGTTCAGGTGTATATCAGTATGTAGTGTCTTACTTTAAAGAGTCTCCTGCTGATGTTCAGGTGTATATCAGTATGTAGTGTCTCTACTTTAAAGAGTCCTCTCCTGCTGATGTTCAGGTGTATATCAGTATGTAGCGTCTCTACTTTAAAGAGTCCTCTCCTGCTGATGTTCAGGTGTATATCAGTATGTAGTGTCTCTACTTTAAAGAGTCCTCTCCTGCTGATGTTCAGGTGTATATCAGTATGTAGTGTCTCTACTTTAAAGAGTCCTCTCCTCTGATGTTCAGGTGTATATCAGTATGTAGTGTCTCTACTTTAAAGAGTCCTCTCCTGCTGATGTTCAGGTGTATATCAGTATGTAGTGTCTCTACTTTAAAGAGTCCTCTCCTGCTGATGTTCAGGTGTATATCAGTATGTAGCGTATCTACTTTAAAGATGTATGGGAGAGAAACTCCCTCTGGAAGGATCACAGGAATTTTATTTTATATAACACACTAAGGGACAGGGAATACCCCAAAAAGCAGAATAGGGCCTCCTTATGTGTGTTAGATACTTGCACCATATGCTCCTTCCCTCCAATTGCATTGCATTGACCCAATGGCTGCCCTTACACATTTAGATAACAGCAGGCGCAAAAGGACTAATGCGACAATTCACATCGCTCTAATCGCTCGAGTTTGACCGCGGCTGTCAGCTGTGTTGTGCCATTCAAACAAGACACACTGGTGAGGTGGCGGGGTTTATCTCCATGTAGATACTATGGTAGATACCACCAACAACAAAATGAACATATTTTACAATGATTTAATTGTAATACATGTTTTCAAATATTGCCGAAGTAACTACTGATACCAGTTTGTAAAAACCATGAATTCATGATCTGGAGAATGTACAGATGGCAGGGAAACATTTTTAAAATGTGTGTTTTCTGAATGGAGATCTGATCGATCAAGCTAACATGTAGCTGCTCCGTCCACAGGCACAACGCGAGACACAAATAAAGCAGTAAGTCTGTGGTTTGTACATTTATAACTTTTCTCCAGTCTCTGAACAGATATGAGGAGATGTTAGCTCTGTGTGCTAACTGCTGCTGTTTTGGTTTTCTGATTCAACGTCAGTGACGGCAGGCTGAGATCCTCACCGCTGATTGGCTATGGGGAGCGAGCAGAGCGCAAATTTGAAGCTCTCCCCAACACGCAAGTCACGTCTTTGCATTTCCTTTACATGTAATCGCGACGCGCAAAATAGTTGCATCGCGTCCGGTGTAAACGCACCATAACGGAGCGTCCACACAGCAGCGTGCGTTGACGCTTGGAGGTGGGCGTATCTGAAGCTTGGGGATTTTTTGCGAGCAACGCGACCAACAACCAATCACATGAATCTCCCGCCCCCGACATACAAAGCAATAGTAATGTTAAAACGAAGTAAACTGGATATAAATCCCCAAACAGGCGAAACCTACCAGTTTTCACCCACTGTCTCTGCCTCCTCCCTCCATGCCTCGCTCCTCTGGTTTGTATCCCGGTAGATCAACAGAGACTGATCATACAGCACCGGGTGATTCACTACCGCTATAATGAATTTTCCCTCCATTTTTTGGAATATGAGGAAATGACCTGCGTTCGTCTCTCCCAGCATACACGCGGTTTGATTGGCTAGCGCTTGTACTGGCAGATTTGCATAAACTGGATTTCATTGGCTGACGCCTCCTTCGAGGCGTCAAAAAGTTGGAACATTGCTCAACTTTGAAGCCAAGCCAACGCCAGCAACGCTCCACGTCGCTTCCCAAAATGCAGTTCGGCTAAGAAGTGACGTCACCCCATTCACACAAGTGAATGGGCAGAAGCGATGGGAAGCTTCAACGCACGCCGCTGTGTGGACGGGCCGTAAGACTCATAAGACGGATTTAAAAGGCAAATAGAGCAATACAGAACAGAATAATTTTGGTTTTGAGTGTGCACTCAATGTTGATACCTGTGTGCTCTATCTATCCCTCTGACGGCCATCCTCATTTATACAAAATATAGCAGGTAGTTTCCCAAAAGCAGCTGAATTCTTACTCATGGCCAAAACAAGAAACCATATGAGAGACAACAGGCTGAGCTGCTTCAGATGTAACCCATGTTGCTGGTCTCTCTCTGAAGGAGAGCTTCACACTGAGAGGCTTAATACTACATGCATTCCCACCCAGCGGCCCCTGCCCGCAGATACAGAGGAAAGCATTTAACTCAGGAATCAGTCTGTCCTGCACACCGGCTTTAAACCTGCTGCGCTATGACAGAGAGGATGTCAATTCATAAAAAACATATAAAGACATTAGTAAACGAGACATCAGTTGAGAGCATCCCATGTGAACAGTATTCCCTGGATCCCCTCCACACAGACTTGCTGTAGATCAACTCATTGTTTTGTAAAGGTGGACATGTCCCATCTTCCTGTTTTGATGACTCATCATCAGATTGTTTGAAGAGTGTTTCCCTGAGGTGTGTGAGTTTCAGAAACCCACACCCAGTGTGTCACAGCACTA